GAAAGTGCCACTGACAAACCGATTCCCAGACAGGCCCACATATATGGAGATGTGGAGGCCAGGAACCAGCCAACGCTTACTCGTTCACCTTTGCCTGTAAGCACAAACTGGAAGGTGAGCACAATACTGGTGGCCAAAAAGAGCCATCCGAATGTGTGTAAAACAACGGTGCGTATCTGTGCCATTCTGCAGGTTTTTCACGGTGGATCTGTAAATGGTATACCAAATTTTATATAAATTACGCAGAATTTAGATATCGAAACTGCGAAAAATCTAAAAGAAAAACTTACAAAAATACCAAGACTACTTCAGTGACAGGTGACCGAGAAAAACTTTACTCATCACATGACAGACGAACAATGCTGCCCTCTGTTGGCTAAATTTTGTTACAATTTGATTGATGTGGCCTTGCAATTACTTACAGGGTTGCCTGGTTTTAAATTTAATTCATGCAACAGTTCAAACAAAAATAGCACGCTATCTCTTACTAATTTAAAATTGCTTTTTTTTATAATTTAAAGTTACTTTTAAAATTGATTTCATTTTTACAATTTACCTCCGATTTCATAATAAAATTAAATCATGTTTTAAAATTTACAGAATGCTTTATTTTGCTGATCGATTTCATAAAGCCACTTTAGAGATAAAGGTGTTGTTTATGACAATCAGCTGATGCAATTTTGCCGAGATCAGCATTGTTAACTTTGTTATTTTCATTTAAATGAACCTTTTGTTGTTATTCAATTGCCATTGTATTATGAAAACATTTCTTGTTTAAAGTACATCTTAATGACACTTTAACTAAAAGGAAACTTTTGCAAAAGGAACTTTAAGTGTTTCATTATGAAATTGGCAATTATCAATACACTTTTCTACTAGAGTATTAAAATTGATTAAACTAAAACTATGACAACTATAAAAAATAACAACATTCAACATTCTTCGAGTTCACTCAACGAACTGTAGAAGAATTTTGACATTATTTATATAATTTTTTAATTTTTAGTAAGGAATTAAAAAGGTGAATGTGTAGATTGAGAGTAAGTGCACGTAGTGTTGCCGAGCTCTCTTGAATCATGATGCAATAAATAGTATCAGCTGGCAACATCTCGCTCTAATTCCGCCATATTAGTTGCGTTCGATCAGCAGTACGAATAGCGGTTTTGCAGGATTTACAGGAACAGCTGTTTTCGTCCTTAATAAACCTTATGTAAGGTGTCGTGCGGGAACAGCTTCCTGTAAAATCCTGCTATTCGTACTGCTGCTGGAACACAACTATTGACTGCCTTAGGTGAAAGAGTGTTACTTCTTTAACAATACTTTGCCTAATAATATAGTTAAATGTTTTTATTTTTTCTCAGTATAAACATGTTATTTTCTTAAAAAGATATTTTATCTTATTTTATTTCATTTCATTACGAATATACTATAAAAGAGCAAATTTTGTTTAGGAGAAAATGTGAAATTTTTCCCCCATATAGGGATTAATTTCTTCCCGTTTTTCTTCTCATTCTACTGAGCTAAGGTGTAAATCGAGCTGTCACAGCTGATACCACATTGTATCATTAGTTGCGTTCCAGATGTTTCACGATATTCACGAAATTCACGATTTGCTGGAACAGCTGTTTTCTCCATTAATAAACCTTATGGGAGGTGGTCACCTGGAACGACTTCCTGTAAAAACCTGCAAATCGTGAAGCATCTGGAACGCAACTACTGCATCATGGGAATTCTGCACTTGTTCCAGTTAGGAATGTTCGATATTTAAGAAAGTATCGATATCATGAATCGATTTAATTCATTGCATGTAAAATCGATATGGCGATATATCGGGCTGAACAATATCGATATCGGAAAAATCGATGTTGAGAATCCTTCTCCCAATTGAATAGAATATTAGCCATAGTTATGAACTCAACTAATTGTGTTATTTCCATCTTGTATATTTCTGAGGATTAAGGTCGACTCAAGCGGTTTGTCAAACCTAAGAGCTAAATAAATCACACAAGCTGTTGATTAAACCTACTTTAGTATTTTTCCTACACTTCTTTGTAGACGAAAAATAAATAAAAACTTAAATATCGATATTGCGGGTAAAGTATCGATGTCTTCGATATATCGACCTTGGAATATCGATTCAAAAAATCTATTACCGTGCGATGAAATATCGATATTCAGAAAAATCTATACGATATCTAACATTTCTAGCTACAGTGCCTTTTACAAAAATTATAAAAATAAAGTTCTTATAAAAGGAAACGAATAGTTTTATTCTACCATCAAAGCTATATCATACAAGTTTGCTATTGTATTCCTATTGCCCGAATAGTAAAACATTTACGCATCATCACCCTTGGTAGCGCGTGTGTAGATCACCTGGGAATGGTGCTGAACGACTTGTCTGATCAGACCTGCGACGACAAACAAAAAAGTAAATAATTTGAATGAAAAATTAAAGTGCATTACTTGCCTTTATCACGTAATTCCACCAGCGCCCTTTTGGCGAGAGAGCCTCGAATCTTCAAACGTTCCGATACCACTGAAGGCGTGATAAGCTTGTATTGTGGCACCTCCTTGTAAAGTTTTTCATAAGTGGCTTTGTCAAACAAAATTTGATTGTTTAACTTGTCCCTGACTTTGCCTTTTGACCACTTCTTCTTCTTGGCTTTTCCGCCACCGCTACCCTCCTTCTTCTTCTGTGTCTTTTGTGGCTGTTTAGCCGACGATTTCGCGTCCTTCTTTGGTGGCTGTAAATTTTAAAAATTCCTTTGTAAATATTTACTGGGATTGGAAGTTTTGTAGCCAGCAAGTTTTGTTTCCATTACACCCTTTCACGTCACTGCTAGCACCAACAGCCAGGCCATGTGCATTTGACAGTCATGTTAAATGTTTGTGAAAAATTAATGTAAACGACTTATTTAGAACGTTATTATGTAAAACTCTTTATTAAACATTGAGGCGTTAATTGACTTTGACATTATCGTATATTTTACAAGTAGAAACAAAACTTTTTGGCCGAAAATTGCAGCAAACGACTCACCATCGTGAGAAACCAAAAGCAAAAAGATGGTGGCCGGATATTGGCAGTGCTGCCACAACACAAATGCCATAATTTGACCCATTCACAGTAGGGATAGATAAATTGGCACAGAGGTGTTATATACCCATTTCCATAAGTGATTATAAATTTCAATGTTTGAAATAAAGTTCTCTCCTAAAAAATGCATATTGTACCGATGTTTTCGATCTATATTTACGTTCTTTGGGATTTTTGGTAATATGGATTCGCCTTGTTTATAACAAACACATTATTTTGACATTAAGAAGTACCGCGGCGTAAATCTAAATTCGCCAGTAACAACACCTTGGCTTTGTTCCTTTTCTTTTCTAGCAGATAATTATCAGGAAGAAGAATACGGAAAAATTTAGAGAATTACGCTCACAGAGAGCGAAATAAAGAAACAGTAAAGAAACGCTAAACTAGCAAGTAAACAGCTGATCGATGTATTTGACTACTGAAAATATTTGGCTCGAATATTTGTTTATCCATTTTGACAGCTGCTAGTTTCTGCTAGAAAAATTTTACAAGCAGAAATTAGCAGGAGAGCCAAAAAATAAGAGCATAAGAACGAGAGAGAGTTGCTAGTTTCTGCTAGTTTTTTGAGATAAGAAACGCTTCCCAACAGAAATAAGTGATAATTTGTGATAATTATCTGTTTAGAAACAAAGCTCTTCGTAAATTCGCATTGGCTGATGGCGCAATATTTTCTATCATTCTTGAGAGTTGTATTCAAGGCGAATTTATACAAGGTGGTGTTACTGGCGAATTTAGAATTTCGTCGCGGTCCTTCTGAATGTCAAAATGATGTATTTGTTGTAAACAAGGCGAATTCATAATACAACAAACACACCATTTTGACATTCAGAAGGACCTCGGCGAAATTCGCCAGTAAACGCAACCTTGTATAAATTCGCCTTGTGCGAAGCTGAGACAATTTTGTTTCAATTTCGCAAAATTCAATTGTGAATACACTACAAAAAAGAACAGGCATGACATCAGAATGTCTAAACGTCAGCAAATACAATAAAACGTCACCTTAAAACAAAATTCCCGATAAAATTGCTTTGATAACCCGATTTAAGTTAAATTAAAAGTTTAATTTTAGTTTAAAATAACACTACTAACGTTAGTCCAATTGTGAAATTGTGAAATAATGGGAAATATAGCGACAGAATATATATAAAGAAGATATTGAAACGTACACAAGTCTTGCAGCTACATTTGAGAGAGACTTGTAGGAAGAGAGCTACCAGGAGAGGAGCATAGATCAAGAATAAAAAAAAACTTTATCTTGGGGTAATTTTTGTGAATAAACGCCAGCACTAGCGTACAGGTTCAATAACTAAAAACATGTACGGAAACAATCCAAGTATTTTAGAAAAATTCATAATTATTTGTTTTCTGTAATTCCAGCACACCCAAACGCTTAAGCGGCACCCATATAGTATATCAGCTGAGCTGGCAATGTTACCGTTAACGCACAAGGATCGCAGCAATTTAAGCTACCGGATCAAGGAAAAGCTAAACAGTTGGAAGCGGCTCATATTTTCCGATCGCAATTCGAGAAATCTATTTCTCTTTCTTTTACTTAACTTGAGTTTTGCGTTCGTGGAGCTCTTCTATGGCATATGGACAAACAGTTTAGGTGAGCGTGGGTCTAACGATAGTATTTGGTGATACCTATGATCGTTTGCCATGGCTATTAGGGCTATCTATTTACTTTCAACTAATCTTATCTACGCTTAAAAAACTTACTTGCCTTGATATTATCATTGCTGGCAATAAAAAAAGAATTCCACAAACGTGTTCATGTGCACTTAATAAAAGTTTGTGGGCAATTCACGTCTTTAGTTGACACATAACATTTACATTTAAGCAACTGAGTTATTAAGAATATCAAAGTTGTTAATCAAATACCTTTTTTTAGTAGATTGTTGCCAAAACATTGTCTTGTTTAAACTAAGACCAGCCAATCAAATGTCAGCCAGATGTTCAATTTAAACTCAGTTTACTTAATCTAAGTTTAAACTGGCCCTAAAAAGGTTTATAGAGCGGTAATCAAGTGACAGTCTTAAAACAGGGCTCGAATCGTCACATACGATATCGTATTACTCGTCACGAAAAAAACATATTTGTCGTATTATAATATACATAGTGAACGCTTTCTTTATCCCATTCAGCTTATACGACTGACGTATAATGTAATTTTGTTTGGTATGGTTTTCGATCTGTGAACAGATGTTACGAGCCCTCGATACCACATTGAAATTTGTATTATTTTTTTAAATTGTATTTGCGAACAAAATATATTCAGTTATTTTATTATAAAGCCATTGGTAATGTGACCGCTCTTTTTTATTTGCTCACTTATTTTCAAGCATTTAAATAAAACCATTTAGGCCATAAAACTGGTTCCTTCATACATACATACATATCGTCGTTCAAAGTGCAAAACCGTTTATCGTGGTGCTGCAAAACCGCGTAACTGACATTTGTGACAAAAATGAGATTTTCTCCCCGGAAGCTCCTTGTAAATAACTAGCCTAACATGGGTAAATGGTTTTGTCCTTTAACCGGCGATATGCATTTACTACTAGTATTTATGAATCAATCTAAAATTTTACAAATCGCCATTTATTAAAAAACTCTTACAACTCAAAAAACAGAATTTTCAAGCCAAGCATGCAGAATTACTACAACATGCTTCATCGTGTGTAAAAACCTGTTTTAGTTTTCGCGTAAGAATATATGCATTTCTATTTTCTGAATTTTTTGAGTGCAAATTGAAAACTTTAAACGCGTCTCATGAAAATATTCGATTTTTTAGTAAATAGTACGTTGCATTCACACTTTTTTGTACATAATGTAGAAATTCATATTTCTGTTATTATCCCATTTTATAACCATAGGTCTCATATCGGACTCGTTTCACATGTTCTTCGACTGCACGGGTCTGCTCGCTGGTCTAGCAGCCTCAGTGATCACCAAGTGGAAAGCTAACGATAAATTTTCTTACGGCTATGTTCGTGCAGAAGTGTTAGCCGGCTTCGTGAATAGTCTTTTTCTACTTTTTATTGCTTTCTTTATTTTATCTGAGGGCGTAGAGCGTTTAATTGAACCACCAGAAGTGAAACACGAACGGCTGTTTGTAGTATCCGTGCTCGGACTGCTGGTAAATCTGGTTGGTATCTATGCATTTCAGCACGGACATGGGCATTCTCACGGAGGTGGCGGTGGACATGGTCACTCCCATGGTGGTGGTGGTGGTGGGGGTCATGGTCATTCGCATGGTGTAAACAATCACATTGACTTGAATAATCACAATCATCAAGCGATAAATTTGGATGGCAGTAGGTGTACAAACATACATAAATACTTGCGTTTCTTTTTAATTTATATGTATCTTTACAGGCCATAGTCATAGTCATGGCGGTGGGCATGGTCATTCACATGGGCTCACCGATGATATGTCTGGCAGCAATTCTCAAATCATGCGTGGTGTCTTTCTACATATTTTAGCCGACACGCTTGGCTCGGTAGGCGTTATCATTTCGGCGGTGCTAATGCAAATATTCGGTTGGATGATTGCCGATCCGATTTGTTCAATATTTATTGCTTTGCTTATTGCCATGAGCGTGCTGGGTCTGATAAAAGAATCAATACTGATATTAATGCAGCGGCAACCGTCAGCGTTAGATCGCGCGCTGCCACAATGCTATCAAAAGGTGACGGGATTGGCTGGCGTTTACGCCGTACAGGATCCACATTTCTGGACATTATGCTCAGATGTCTATGTGGGTGCTATTAAGTTGGAAGTTTCCAAAAATGTGGATCCCAAATATGTGGTCACACATGCGCGCATGATCTTTGAATCTGTAGGAGTAAAGCAGATTTACATTCAGCTGGACTATGTGTGATAGCGATGGACTATAATAGATCGGATCGGGCCGGGTTGTTGAATAAACTTTCGTTTTTATTTTTAAAAGCGGCTAAAATAAAAGAGGAAGAAAAATGAGCATTCGAATAATTAACCTGTTATTCAGTTCATTGCGAGGGCGGGCAATCGAAAACGGAAATTTTGTTTTAATCTTTACCTTAAGTTAATTTTGCAAAGCAGTTCACTCAACTGCTTGAGTAAACAGTTAAAATATTTTTTTCTACGTGTATAATGTGTAGATAATTTAGATAAACTTGAAAGAAACTGTTAACGATTAGAACTATGTTTTATACTTATTTACATACAATATTAACATATTTTGTTACATGATATGGTATTTATTTTAATATAATTGTGTGAATGTATGAAATAATGAATTGCAGATGCATATATAAAATAACGAAATTTTTAGTGAAATCATTCCAATTAAAGATTTAGTCGAAAATCGATCAATCCTTTTCCAACCATAACGAGTGATCAAATCCGTGACGAATACTTAAGAGCAAGTAGTACATGTAAGTGCGTAAGCTCTTATAAAAAATTGCCATTTAACTGAAAATGAACAAAGCGGCTTGCTTTATTTCAATGAAGTTCAGCAAAATGTACATACAATGGTGTTTATAAAACAGCGTTATAGAAAAAAACGATATACGATGCTGCAAATAAATTTGTATACTTAATAAATAAGTAGTCATAAGTGCGGATATTAATAAAAATTGAAAAATAAAAAAAAATACTTAACACTCTAATTCATACTTCATAAAGAAATTTTTCCAAGACGAGTCCGATATCTGATCAGACGGAGTATCATCAGGAGACCTCTACCAAAAATACATACATAAATATATGTCTTTACTAATGGAATCTTGTGCGACATTACAATTATAAAGGCAAGTGAAAATAACTTTTCATCTAAAGGTGGTATCTACTTTTGAATGAATTTGGCCCTCCAAAAGACAATGCAAACAATGCAAAACTTACCTTCACTGCTCCCGCTTTTTTATTGAAAATAAGATGAATGACAAGAAAATACTCCAGTTAAAAGTTAAGAATCGGAGCTTGGTAAGTAATTGAAATAAACGCACATCATAGTCAGGCTGCCACGTTTTACTGCCCTGAAAGAGTATGTACAAGCTTATAAGTATGTCCTAAAGACTTATTCTAATAAATACATATTACGTATCAGTAAATCTTTGTTATATTATAAAGTTAAAGATACATACATACATACATACATAATATGCATGTACACACGTCAACAAATTATTTCCCATACAAGGCATTAAAAGTATATTCGTGGTATAAGCAACAGATGGGTGTGTATTAATCCATGTGAGTGCATTTTTATGCACAGCACTTGCTGATTTGATGACGAACACAAACAAAAGTGTAATATAGAACACATACAGACACTCGACATTGCCATTGCTGCGCCTTGTTTCGTTGTACGCCAATGACCCTCTTAAATGTGTTGTATCTATTACAAAATTATCAGCACAGGTAGATGAATTCTAAATGCGCTGTTATGTGGCTTGTTGACGCAAATTTCGTCTATCCGGAAAGCGAAGATTTTTCGGACTGACTCTAACGCCATTTTGTTAACGCTGCTGCAGACTGCATTGATGATGCGTTTGCTCACGCCAGCGATTGCATATGATCAAGATTTTTTGCCAACGACCTAATTATACTTTTGAGGTTATGTGCCAACACACATTTTGCAACAAATGAAAAATCATTTTTTCGTTTATGGTTTTTTCTTTAATTTGTCCGTAAAGTTCTTTTGCGTATTTTCTTTTTTCGTTTTTTATTTTTACAATATGCATTTTTTCGCTTGATGCTTTTTCTTACTTAAACAAATTAAAAGACAAATACCAAAAAATTTATATATATAAAAAGTACTCGAGTATGTACGCTGCAAATAGAGTTCTTTCATTATTTACTAGGCTGTCATCACTGCATTTGATAACTCGCGTAGCAGAACAAGCTAGTTGATTAGCATATATGGAGAGAAGTGTTCTTCACATTTTGTATAAAAATTAAAATACATAATTTTTTACTATAATGATTAGCATTACGGTTGAACGGTTTATAGTATTCAAAGTTTGACCAAATATATATGTAGCAGCAAGTTCCAAGTGACACAATACTAAATTCGTGTCCGAACAAAACGAATATGACAAATGAATCATTACAATTGCAACTAATTGGTATTTACTAAACAAAATATAATTAGTATTAATGTATATGTGGTGTGGTTTTCGTTTTAGGTATCTATTTTTTAACACTTCTCTTCGTCGAGTCCATGCTTGAAGAACATGAGCACGGGTGTGCTGGTGCCGTCGATTTCACGGTATTCACACATGGCTACCATACCATCGCAGTCCATTGATTCGCCAGTGTAGAACTGCAAGTCTTTGAAGCGGCCAAGGATTTCCTTCATTACCTTATTCATGTTGGTCTTGAAAATTTCAATTTGATCGGGAGCATTCTCCTCCAACTTGGCCAGCACCTTCTTCATATAGTCTTTGAGGTAGAGTGTGAACGACTTTTTGTCACCGAATGCGAAGCACTCCTGGAGACGATGGTTTAAGACCACATCGACGCCAGATTCGACGGCGGAATCGGTGCCCTCATCGGCTTCTTCAGCCGATGGGTTGAAGCCATCGATATTTATTTCACCTTGAGAACGGGTGACTAGTTTACCGTAAACTTCGTAAATAACTTCATCCACCAATTTCATTTTGTAGGTATCGGCAAACATTTCGTCACCGGTGATGCTATCCTTGTAGATTTTCATGTTTACGGCTGTTTTATTGGTCTGAAAAACTAGGAAAATTCGAGACTTCCGACTTTTGCACAAAATTAGTCACACCGAGCCACGCGCTCACGTCCACAGCAAACAACAAAAAGAAAGGATGGACACGAAGTGGTGTCAGAAAAATCACTGAAAGTAATAGAGTAGAATTAGTGCAAAGCGGAATATCAGAAACACACAGAGTTGTATTTTCTGAAGTTTGAAGTTTGACAATTGTGAACGATTGCCATTTTTTTGGAAGCCTAAAGCCCTGTATGCAGCTCTTAAGAAAACGGTCAAGAATAAATTGCCATTATTTCGCGTGTGTGTCCAAGGAATTTTGACATTTTTGATACCTCACAGCCTGTTGCCACACTCTTTCCACAAGAAATAATGGAACGGGCATATATTTCTGTTGCAAACCTGGGTTGTCTTGTGCTCTTTTTTCACAAAAAAACTTTGGAAAACCGAAGTAGAAAGCGTAGTAAATTTCTTAAGAACTGCGAACTGCCTTAAGGAAATTTGACTCAAGAAAATTTCTTACGCGTTTCTGGTACGTCATTTTATATGGAGTTTTTGCTTTTCTTGAGAGCTGCATACAGGCAATAACAAAAATATAAACAAACAAAAGGGAATGTCAAAAAAAGCAGTCACTGACAACGCCGTATTGTGTTTGCTACGGCAGTGACTGCCAATATTAACAGCAACAGCTGATTTTAAAAACTTGCACTGCCACTGCGCTATTGTATTTTGGGCTAAACTCAGTTTACTTAATCTAAGTTTATTCTGACACTGAAAAACAAGAAACGGCTGGCATGCTTTGTTGAACTCGGCCAAAATAGCTTAGGCGGTTAAGCTGAAGCTCTATAGCAGGCTTTTCACGCGTTGCGGCTTGAAGCGCTCAAGCCTGAAAGATGATTTAGTGAAATTGTATAGAAGCTGCTCCATAACTAAAGTCTGAAAAGTCTGAAAGATGCCAAATTTCGAACTTGTTTCAAGCTTTTCAGGCATCGTCTGAGAGTTACTAATTCGAACATTAGTACTGGTCATGATGCAATAAAACGAGGTGTTGGACGTTGTGACAACTCGATTTGGTGCTGCATTAGCTCAGTGGAATAAGAATAAAAACGGGAAGAAATTAATCCCCGTTAGGGGGAAAAATGTAAAATTTCATATTTTCTTCTAAGCAAAATTTGATTTTTTATAGCATATTCGTAATGAAATGAAATAAAATGGGATAAGACTAGTCCTTTCCTTCCGATCAAACAGCGCGACTCTGGATCTCGTCCATTCAGATCGCCTGCCCGTAGAGAAGTCAATAAGAGGCGGCTTGGAAACTAGTCCTTTCCAACCGCCTAGTGGTGGTGTCTCTGGAAATAACACTCTTGAGCCGCATGCCCTACACGTGATATATTTACGGTACCGCTTGGAATCAAGTCCATTCCAACAGCATCGAGAATACAAATTAGTTCTACAAAAACCATTTTAAAGCTTAGAAAAAAAAAAATCGTAATAGGTTGACTTATATTAAGCTTTAATTTTACTTTTAATATATAATAATTTTGTAATATTCAAATGCATATACGTGAATAAATATAGGTCACATGACTATAAAAAATAAATATATAAATAAATGAATATTATTTAAATTGTGAATATTTTAATGTTGACATTGGTTTTTCAACACTAAAAAGTTTGAATTAGTCAATTCGCCTTGAGTCAATTAAAAATAGAAAATCAAAGGATGTTTTTGAAAACCTTTCATTCTTTCATGGTTTACGACCGTACAGAAACAAAATATTTCCAAAATGTAAGAATAGAAATTTTTGAGCCAAATTTCGCATTAACTAATGTATTTTGAACTTTCAGGAATATACACAATTTAATACGCCTTAATGCATTCCAGAGAAATCTTCTACGAGTTCAATTGGCTTCGTTTCGGTATTTAAAAATTAAGATCGAACCACCCAGAAAAAAAGAAACACACGGAACAAAGAATCGTCGGCTTGGAAGGTTCTTCGCACCAAGTTTGACCGTTTACAGACCACAATTGACGTCGGTGTTGTCTATATCGAATCGAGCGAGTTCACTTTTAGTTACTATGTATACTTGGGGATTAGGAATAGGCGCTTTAATATCCTCGCACGATAATGCACATTTTGTTACAATGCTAGATGGATTGCAAATGAGTTCTGCATCTTTATTTATTTTAAAATTCATGATCGCTTTTCCATTTGCTTACCATTGTTGCGCTAGTGTCCGAGTTTTAATCTGGGAAACAGGAAATTTTCTCTCTCTGAAGGGAATTTATCTTACTGGATATATAGCAATTGCAGCTACCATACTTACAGCCGCTGGCTTGGCGAGTTTGTAAACGTCTGTTGGTGACTTTAATAAAAAAAATATTTAAAACATACAAAAATATATGTTCAAAGTTATTTTTAAATGGCCAGTTAGTACCACCGATTTCAGAATATTTATTGAATTCTATTGAGTGTTTTTTGTGCTACGAAAGGACATTTATATATTTTACCATTAGCGAAATGCTATTGTTTTGAACCACCTTAATTCATCAACAAGGATTTCGTTTGCAAAAATCGCATTCATTCGCTTGTTCATTGTGAATGGCAATAATATAAGACGACGGAAAGAAGAAGCACTAATAAATTTGACAGCTAAATCAAAGTGGACAGACAAATTTGGACAAAGTTGGAGCAAAGTACCAAAAATGTAAGTGCGATACAGTACACTTGAAATTGATAATTTTAAACGATTCCTTTAAAACAGGTATGCCATAACTCGTTCACTGATTCGTTCACCTGCCCTGCGTCAGGGTGTGCAAAGGCTGCAGGTAGCTGCTCCGGCTCGGCAAGTCACTTTGAAAGTTGTACCTGCAAGTGATGCGGTTCCAACGGAGACATTTGATGAGAAAAATCAACGTCTTGGACGTGAATTATCTCCACATTTAACCATCTACAAACCACAGTTAACATCGATGCTGTCGATCACTCACCGTGGCACAGGTTTTGCACTGACTGGTTATGCTTGGGCTTTGGGTCTAGGTGCATTGATGTCTTCGCAAGACATTTCACACTACGTTACTATTATTGAAGGCCTGCATTTGGGGTCTGCGATATTAGTTGCACTTAAGTTTGCCTTGGCCTTTCCATTGGCATTTCACTCTTGCTGCGGTGTTCGCCATTTGCTATGGGATACCGGCCGTTTTCTAAAAATTACTGAAGTTTATTTGACTGGTTATGTAACTCTTGGTATTAGCCTCATACTGTCGGCTATTTTGGCTTGTTTGTAAACATATAACTGAATCAATTGGATATTTTTCTTGTTACCTTATGTTGCAGAGAGCTTATTTAAATTTATTTGGAATATTGGAAAATTAAAGTGATCTTAGCGAAAGTAAACGATACGTATGTAGTTCTTTTTGAGTATTAAAACTAACCGAGTGCTTAATTTTGCATTATGCAATGGAAAATTTATAGATCTTACCTAACTGGAGATGTAGTGATAAGGCGTTTAACCTGTTCATTGCAATTTCAGGAGAACCTATTTCTTCAATATAACCGAATTTTAACACTGCCGATGTCTTACGAAATTCATATCCTACCAAATCGCATATCTATAATACGAGCTCACAAGCATATTCATTCAGCAAGAGTTCATGGAGAGAGAGAGTTATTGAAGGTGGTGAGCGACACCCGTCTAGAATGTCGGGGCAAGCTGTCCGGCCAGGCAATTTCGAGCGCGAAACATTTAACGTTTATATGCCACTTGCTGCAGGATATCACTCTGACATACGTTCGCTACTCAGAGATAAAAACTGAAAGGTAGTAGGTGACTAACGCGCACCACGACCTTTGTCACTCTCCTTGTAAATGATCGTAAGGGAATCTTATTGGATGAGCAGATAGACGATTCAATTCGACGATGACGCCCCCATCAGAATTATGGGTAGCTGCACCAGTTCTGTAGGCCTAACAATTACTAACGCAGGCCTGATTAATCATCATCAGACCATCGTAATCTCGATCAACAAGTCCCCCTGCTTTGCTCCTATGTCAACTTTACCTAAGCTGTTTGGAACGGCTTCCCGGAAGCTACTGAGGGCAGTTTCGCCGCCTTTCCCACACCCACAAGCGTACATGCTGGCAAGCGCCAGTTCCACAAGGTAGTTGCTGCCGCAGCGGCCCGCATCAGCATACATGACAATGGGCCAGCCGGTTCTGAGCTATGCTGCGTCTGTTTGGTCCCCGAGGATTAAAACAGGTTGAAACAGCTCGTCTAACCCGGTCAAAACCGGTCGAAACAGCTCGTCTCTTGGTTCTACCGTTAGTTGAGCTTGACTACAACGATTGATGGCCAAACCGACCTAGGCGGGTCTTAGTAGTGCCGTTTCAAAAACAACAACGACTCTAAGCATTCAGTCAATAGCTTGTGTGTACACCATCGGGCCCAGTAGTTTTTCAATGGAAATCTCGACCGCGTCCTTGTATTCGGAAAGATGACTACTGATGAGCCTGCGTGACTGTGCCTTTTTAAGCATATGCCTGTTCGGGTGCTCGCGTCTGTCGCACCCTACTAAGAACTGCTTGCCGAACAAGAGGTGTTCTCATAACTGCCGAAGATCACTTGCTTTTAAAGTCTTGAAGGATATTGGCCATTTTGTGGGTTTTAGAAAAATGTCGAAAACAGTTTCGCGAATTGCTCGGCCAACTGTACGACCTGTACTAGGTCACTTAAAAATTTCGTGATTTTTTTTATTATTTTGTAACGCCGTGTTATAAAATTTCTTTCAAAAACATACCAAACAATTACACACTAAGTCCTTTTTAACTATCGTTTGAATGAAACTGGTGAAGCACTGAAAATCTTCAATTTTACCGTTGTGTTGGTTGTACGCTTTCGTTTTCATTAAAAATTAAGCTGATATAATCTTTATAACTAAAGCTTCCATAGACACAAATAACAGTTATTTATTTTTTTATTTTTTAATGTTTTTACAGCAGATTACCACAGATTAATGAAATTTAGTCCTTTAGCAAAAGGTTCCTACTGAAATAGAGATAATTAAGGCATTTTAAAATTTATGTCGATTTCATCTTTTACA